CAAGAAGGTTAATGGCATATTGGGATGCATTAGGAGGAGCATTGCCAGCAGATCCAGAGAAGTGGCAATTCCCCTTTATTTGGCACTGATGAAGCTACATCTGGAGTATTGCGTCCAGTTCTGCCCTCTGCTCCGCATTACAAAAAGGATGTGGCTGCATTGGAGAGGGATTCGGGGGCGGGAGCTCATGACCTGTGAGGAAAGACTGAGGGATTTGGGTTTGTTTAGTCTGCAGAAGAGTGAGGTGGGATTTGATAGCAGCCTTTAACTTCCTGAAGGGAGGTTCCAAAGAGGATGGAGAGAGGCTGTTCTCAGTACTGACGGATGGCAGAACAAGGAGCAATGGTCTCAAGTTTCAATGGGGGAGGTCTACGTTGGATATTAGGAAAAACTCTTTCTCTAGGAGGGTGGTGAAGCACTGGAATGGGTTCCCTTGGGACATGGTGGAATCTCCATCCCTAGAGGCTTTTAAGTCTCGGCTTGACAAAGCCCTGGCTGGGATGATTTCATTGGGATTGGTCCTGCTTTGGGCAGGGGACTGGACTCCTGACCTCTGTGATTCTGGCGTGTATTAACTAGAGTGTCATATGTAAGACATTGGAGGAACGGTCGTGCCCCACTCTATTTGGTTTTGGTAAGACCTCACCTTGGGTGTCACATCTTAAGAATGGTGTGGAGAAACTGGACAGAGTCCAGCAGAAGCAATACAAATGATTAAAAGGTTTAGAAAATCTGAGGCAAGGTTAAAAAACTGGGCATGTTTAGTCTGGAGAAAAGGAGACTGAGGAGGGACCAAATAACACTCTTCAAATATGTTAAGAGCTGTTTTAAAGAGGATGGTGATCATTTGTTCTTCATGTCACTGAAATAATGGGCTTAATCTGTAGCAAGGGAGATTTAAATAAGATATTAGGAAAGACTTTCTGATATAAGGGTAGTTAAGTTCTAGAATAGGCATCCAAGGGGAACTGTGAAATCACCACCATTGAAGGCTTTTAAAAACAGGCTGGACACACACTTATCACAGATGGTTTATGGTTATTTGGTCCTCCCACAGCACACGGGGCTGGACTTTAGGCCCTTCCGGCCCTACATTTCTATGATTCTGTAAGACTGGAGTTTGTAGGCACAATCTCAACACAAATAGCAAATAATAATCAACTGATCAATTTTTTTTGCATAAAGGGCAAGTTTATATAAAAGCATTTGTATTAATGATGTTTATAAGTTTGTAATTAATATTTAATATCTTAACACTAAGGGTACGTCTAAACTACATGCCTCCGTCGACGGAGGCATGTAGTTTAGACGTACCCTTAGTGTTAAGATATTAAATATTAATTACAAACTTATAAACATCATTAATACAAATGCTTTTATATAAACTTGCCCTTTATGCAAAAAAAATTGATCAGTTGATTATTATTTGCTATTTGTGTTGAGATTGTGCCTACAAACTCCAGTCTTACAGAATCATAGAAATGTAGGGCCGGAAGGGCCTAAAGTCCAGCCCCGTGTGCTGTGGGAGGACCAAATAACCATAAACCATCTGTGATAAGTGTGTGTCCAGCCTGTTTTTAAAAGCCTTCAATGGTGGTGATTTCACAGTTCCCCTTGGATGCCTATTCTAGAACTTAACTACCCTTATATCAGAAAGTCTTTCCTAATATCTTATTTAAATCTCCCTTGCTACAGATTAAGCCCATTATTTCAGTGACATGAAGAACAAATGATCACCATCCTCTTTAAAACAGCTCTTAACATATTTGAAGAGTGTTATTTGGTCCCTCCTCAGTCTCCTTTTCTCCAGACTAAACATGCCCAGTTTTTTAACCTTGCCTCAGATTTTCTAAACCTTTTAATCATTTGTATTGCTTCTGCTGGACTCTGTCCAGTTTCTCCACACCATTCTTAAGATGTGACACCCAAGGTGAGGTCTTACCAAAACCAAATAGAGTGGGGCACGACCGTTCCTCCAATGTCTTACATATGACACTCTAGTTAATACACGCCAGAATCACAGAGGTCAGGAGTCCAGTCCCCTGCCCAAAGCAGGACCAATCCCAATGAAATCATCCCAGCCAGGGCTTTGTCAAGCCGAGACTTAAAAGCCTCTAGGGATGGAGATTCCACCATGTCCCAAGGGAACCCATTCCAGTGCTTCACCACCCTCCTAGAGAAAGAGTTTTTCCTAATATCCAACGTAGACCTCCCCCATTGAAACTTGAGACCATTGCTCCTTGTTCTGCCATCCGTCAGTACTGAGAACAGCCTCTCTCCATCCTCTTTGGAACCTCCCTTCAGGAAGTTAAAGGCTGCTATCAAATCCCACCTCACTCTTCTGCAGACTAAACAAACCCAAATCCCTCAGTCTTTCCTCACAGGTCATGAGCTCCCGCCCCCGAATCCCTCTCCAATGCAGCCACATCCTTTTTGTAATGCGGAGCAGAGGGCAGAACTGGACGCAATACTCCAGATGTAGCTTCATCAGTGCCAAATAAAGGGGAATTGCCACTTCTCTGGATCTGCTGGCAATGCTCCTCCTAATGCATCCCAATATGCCATTAACCTTCTTGCCTACAAGGGCACACTGTTGACTCATATCCAGCTTCTCATCCACTGTAATCCCCAGGTCCATTTCTGATGAATAGCTGCTTAGCCAGTCGGTCTCCAGCCTATAGCAGTGCTTGGGATTCGTCTGTCCCAAGTGCAGGATTGCAGTTGTCCCTGTTGAACCTCATCAGATTTCTATTGGCCCAATCCTCCAATGTGTCTTCGTCACTCTGGACCCTATCCCTGCCCTCCAACATATCAACCTCTTCCCCCTAGTTTGGTGTCATCTGCAAGTTTGCTGAAGGTGCGATCCATCCCCTCATCCAGGACAGAAATAAAGAAGTTCAAGCCCTTGAACCAACCCCTTGGCACTCCACTTGATACCAGCCACCAACCAGCATCAAGCCATTGATCACTACCCATTGGGCTTTCTATCCATCTTTCAGTCCATTTATCCAATCCATACTTGAAGTATGGATTCAATTTGTGATGCACTATAAATCCCTACATTATCAGAAGTCTGTTCCCCATTTTGTAGTTGTGTGCTTGATTTTTCCTTCTTTAGTGAAAGACTTTGTATTTGTCTTTATAGATTTTCATCTTGTTGAATTCAGATCAACTATCCAATCTGTCAACATCATTTTGAATTCTGATTGTGTGTTTCAAAATGTTTCTTAACCCTCCCAATGCAGTGCCATCTGCAAATTTTATAAGCATACCCACCATTATCCATTCTAGTCATTAATGAAAATATTGGATAGTACAGGATCCAGGACTGACCACTGCAGGATAGCACTAGATACACGCTCCCAGTCTGACAGCAAACTATTGATATCTACTCTGTAAGCAAGACACCATTGTCCCAAGTACTGTACAACACAGTGAAAAAGGTCCTGCTCTCAGGGACTTAAAGTCAAAGATTGTTTTCCTGTGCCAAAACTCCCATTGAAGCCACTGTGGTTTTTCCTTGCATACGATGGGGAGATTAGTATCAGAGGGAGAGCTATCTTAGTTTGTATCTGCAAAAAGCAATGAGGAGTCCTGTGGCACCTTAAAGACGCAGGGGATGTCTACACTAGCTCGTTAATTCAAGTTATGTAGGCAAATCAGGCAACCGGAGTTGCAAATGAAGCTCGGGATTTAAATACCCCGGGCTTTATTTGCATGTTCCCATCCGGCCACCATTTTTAAATCCCCCTTAGTTCGGATTAACTTTAAACTGCCACGTGTAGCCGCGGGCAGTTTGTTCGAACTAAGGGTGATTTAAAAATGGCAGCGCCCGGCAAGATGAAAATGAAGCCCGGGATATTTAAATCCTGGGCTTCATTTGCAACTTCGAATGCCTACATTAGACAAGCTAGTGTAGACATACTCTAGCAGATTTATTTGGGCATGAGCTTTCGTGGCCAAAAATCCACTTTGTTGGATGTATGATATTATAAGAAGATTGAAATCTGGTACTCAAGATCTAGTGTGTAAATCTGAGGTGTGAGGCCCAGGGCAACTCCCTTGCCACAGGCCCTGCCCCCACTCTACCTCTTCTCCACCCCACCCCTGCTCCGTTCAATCCTTCCCCATCCCTGTCCCTGCTCTGCCTGTGCTCCGCTCTTGCTCTGCCTCCTTGCTCGCTTTCCCCAAGCAACATAACCTGAGGGACTGTGGGTGACAGCAGAGGTTGCCTTTGCACAGCCCC